CGCCATGATTTCTCTTTTTCTGCCTAACTGACTTCTTTTTTGGATCTACGGCGAGTTTGTGAACAGCTAGATCCGGGCTTACGCCTGGCATCTCTTCCACTTCAAAGGCAAAAATGTCTTTGAATTCCTTCAGCAGTTGGAGTAAGTCTGTCCCCAACACTTTAAAAGAAAGCGTCCCAACCTTGACGGTTCTGTCGGGCCGGCTGTCGTCCAGGACGACATCAACGCTCTCACCGGCCGGTTGGGGTCGAAGGTCATCCGACCTTTCTCCGGCAAGTGATTGCTATTGTTTCTCTTTTTTGACGGGTGCCAGTTGGTCCGCCTTTCTTTTCTTACCGGCTGCCGTTGGAGCCGGGACTGCAGGATCACAGTTATCAACATCTATGGGCTCGCCATGACCGACTGTACCCATAGTTGGTTTGACGTCAGAGAGGTAGCACTCCCTAACCGTCTTCTGGTCCCCGTTTAGGGAACCGACTGTACCATCATCCTCCTCAAATTTGACAAGCATGAGAGATGGGATGATCACAGCCTTGGACTCGTTGAGGGTCGGCCGACCAAATATCATGTTGTAGGCCGTCAATTCTTCCACAACCAAAAATTTTACGACTATATGGCGGCCTTGCCCCTTTTCACCCAGCCAGATAGGAAGGTCAATGCTTCCCACCGGATGCACCACTCCTCCCCCAAAGCCGACTAAGGGGTGAGGTGCCTGATTCATGCTGTTGGGCTTGTACTTGAGCTTTGTCAAGCATTGATAGTTGATTAGGTTAGACGAGCTCCCGGTATCTATTAAAATCCGACCAACTTTCTAGTTGGAGACCTTGCATTCAACGACAATGGGGATATCGTGGGGCCGTCTGACCTTGCCCCGGTCCTTTTTTAGAAATAAGGACCTCAGGGAAGGTGTCTCTCAACGCCTGGCCCTCATCCACTGAGTTAACCAGCTTCTTGATATTGTCTTTGGCACCCCGGATGGTTGGGCCTCCGCCGGCAAAACCGCCTGCTATGGTGAAGATTGTCTCTTCGTCCGTTTCAGAGTTAGCAGGGCCGGGTTTTTCCGGCTGCCCTTTGCTTGCTTTGGGGTTGCCTTTGGGCTTTGGCAAGTAGGACTTTAGAGCTCCCTCGTCTGCTAGACGATCTAACACCGCCTAAGGCTGTAGGAGCCATTAGTGTCATGGCCCACATCCTCATGGTATTGGCAGTACTTGCTCTCGTCCTGGATGCTGGCAGGACTTTTCATGGCGGCTGGTTTCTGAAGGGACAACCGGTCCTTGATCTCCATGAGAATGGAGGAGCAGTCCTTTGTGAACTCGTACTTGGGGACGTATGGTTCAGATTTTCTTCTTGCCTTCTGGGCCGGCTGACCAGACCGATCTGCCGCCCAGATTCCTTTCCTCTTGTCTTCCTTTTTTGCCGGCTGCTGCGGCCGGTTATCTTTTCTGTCAGATTTTTTGAAATCTGACGGCTGCTTTACAGCACAAAGCTCCGTCGCTTGTATATAGGCTTCTACTTCCATTAATGCCTCTTAGAGGGTGGCTACCCTTTTCCGGACGAGGTCGAACTTAAAGGTCGACCCATCCTTCAGACCCTTGAAGATGTCTGTGTAAGCAACTTCGTCAGACAGCCCTTGAATCTGAATTCTCATCAGATTGAACCGCCTGACATAGGACCGGAGTCCTTCCTTCTCACCCTGCTGTATTGCCCCAAGGTCAAGGCTGGTCTTTTTGGCAGGGATGTTCATTGAGAAGTTTGACGTAAATAGGTATGCCAAAGTTCTGAAGTTGTTTATGCATCCGGCTGGTAGGTTACCAAACCACCGTTGGGCAATGCCCTTCAGGGTCGCCGGGAAACATCGACACCAGGCGGTGTCATCCAACCCCTGTAGATACATGAGGTTGGAGTATGCCATTAGGTGGTCTTCCGGGTTGGAGGTACCATCATAGGCACCTACCAACACATTCTTGACCTTGGGCGGTTGTGCCGCCTGAGTTATGTCTGGCGAGAACGCCGTAGGCTGTTCTCCCAAATTAAGCAGACGCAGCTGCCAATCCGTGGGTTGGAATGGCTACTGCCCATGACCACCGAAGAGGCCTGGTGCAGAAAAAGGGGATCCACTCGGTACATATGGCGGACCATATTGTCCCGGATGGATCACTTTGGGAGATCGCGCGGAGGGTTCGCGAGACTGACCCCTTTGGTCTGTTTCCGAGTATCTGACGGAGGCACTGCGGAGGCTGTCAGGGAAGGTCGACGTTGAGGCCGACGCAGACAATTGCTGATTTCTCTTCTCCTAGAGAAACGTCCGGGCATCAGTGAAGGTTTTCTTGGATCCATCCAGCTGTAGGTGCCGGATGGCTTTTCTTGCCTCCACTTGAGGGAGGCGGAGCCTATTTAAGTCGATCTTGGGCCCCTCCCCCACCTTGGGCTTTGGATGAGGAGTGGGCACACGATCTTTCAGAGCCTTCTTCCTAGAGGAGGAAGGCTTCTTGGCCGGCTGACCCTTCTGGGGGGTGGCTGACCGGATGAGATTCTTTATCTCGCCCTTGAAACAATTCATGAAGGTCATGAGTTCGTTTCTCGTGACGAAAGTGGATCCCGCTGCTGCCTGGGCATCCCTTACCGGCATACCAGCTGGGTTGCTTGGAGCAGCTTGGTCCTCACCTCGCTCCTTCATTTCTTTGGAACGGGTGCGTTTTGTTCTGAAGGACCCGTCTGGGGCCACATAGGTGTCGATTTCATAGTTATCATCACTTTCATGGTCCGTCTTGACCTCAGGCTCGGCCAAGGGCCATTTTTCTGGATTCGGTGGTACAGTATCAGAAGTCATCTTGGAAGTACTCTCCCCACAGACGGCGTCAAATGTTTCGGGGTTTTCTGAGGTGTCCTGTGGGAGAGTTACAATTCCGAGACTGAGCTGCCAATGCATGTACCTGCAAGATCACGAAGACTCCGTTTGGTAGGAGCCTCGCCTCCGACGATCAAGTTAGTATACATACAGGAGGTAAAAGTACGGAAATGGTAAAGTATTTCTCGCTGATTGGGAGAATTCCGCAATTAATATTGCTCGGTAATTGTGTTTGTATTTTTGAATACCCTATTAATGAGGGTTGTCCCACTATGTATAGTGGGACAGATAAGTTACTCATGGAAGGCTCCAAGGACACGTGTCAACAGGGGATTGGAGCCCTGTTGACCAATGGTGATACATCACGTGTCACCAGCCCATTGGACCACGTGTCTAGGGTATTTTTACTCTAAACAATTATAATTTGTGAAGTTGTACTTTAGCAACATTTGCTCCCTAGATTTTTTTTACTACCGACTATTTGCATTTTCATCATAGTTGGCTTTAAAGCCTTGGTCTCAGTATATAAGTGACACAATCTTTAGTTGGTTCGAATTCATCTAGATGATGGGGCTCGTGTGGAGATGTGAAATATTTTATACACATCCGGGTGTATCATGCACCCAACTCAACTAGCCCAAAGTTAGTTTTTGCTCTTTAGTTGATGATTAAATGAAAAACAATCATCAAAATGAGAACAAAATGCTCATGGGTGTACTGTACACCCAGATAAATATAACAATCTCTCATGGAGGTGGATACTTAAATGTCAAGAGTGTTAATTCCTCGTTTGGTTCATGTGAAATCATGAAAAGTAGAAGGTAAAAACAAAGTAGGTTGCAATTTTCAAAATAATCTAATTCTCATAGAATAATTATTCTTCCGCTGTAGAATCAAAATCCTCAAAAATATGGCATGGCCTATCAGACTCGCTTACAAAGTTACAACAATGCATTTGTTGTAGCTAGGCTAAGTCAAATGAGTGGATAAACTTAATAGGCTTTATACCTTTTCCAATATGTTAGGAAAATCGCGATAGATTACGAATTATTGACCCACAATATAATTTGGTGGTCGTCAATGGACTACTTCTCCTATGACCAATTAATTTTGAAATACAATTTTGATTGACATTTATCTGGTCAATTAATCAAACTCTCCTATAAAACTTTATAGAGTTATAGAGGCCTATAAAAGTTTATCAATACTCAACAAAAGAATTTGTAAGAAAGAGAGTTTTTTTTTAGATTTTGATTATATTTTTTAAATCTTCAATATTATCTACTTAGGTAAGAAAGAAGAATAATTTCCACAATTTCCTAACTATTTCTAAGCAAAACTTAAAGATTATAAAAATGTTGGGGAATGTTGGAAATGATTAAATGTATCACAAAAAACAATTCTTAGCTTCCCTTCAAACCCGGGAAAAAAACAAAAACTTAGTATCCGTGTACTACCTCCGTTAAGTATTAGTTGCAAATTTGAAATATTTTATATCTCATAAATAATAACCCAAAGTTGCAACTAATATTTAACGGAGGTAGTAGTAATAGTCTAATAGCTATGGTATACACACACGAGCAAGCACATTCTTACTATTACTCTGTAGTTGGCTCCAACTTAAGAAGTGATACAATTTCTAAAATAGGCTGCAGGAAAATGAATATAGTTAAGCTTTTAAGCGAGAAGCGATTTGAAAACCGTGACCCATTTAATGTGAAAGAACCTGGAGATGGGTCCAAGGTCCAACCAAATAATCTTATTATGACAGATAAAATAATGCTCATTTTCATGATCAAAACTTTGAAATGTTGACAATTCTCATAAACATATGCTTGTATAACAAATAGTCATATAAGATATAGTTAAATTCATCACAATATGTAGTTCTATAATGTAACCTTGTTATAATATTTGAAATAGAAAATATTGATGGTCAAACGTATGTTTTTAATAAAACGAAGGTTGTATGATACTAACCACAGATTCACAGAAATCATGCTAAATACACTAGTACACTCAGTAGAAGGGGGGGAAACCCCAAAAATAAATAAGTGGCTCAAGCTGTGCTAATTTTTTCTTAGTGAAAAAAGTCGGGTTTAAGTTTTAGGGGGGGAGGGGGGGGGGGGGGGGAATATTTACCCACTTAAAATGGAAGGAATCTGGAAAACGAAGAGGCATAATATCATGAATCATGGCTGAATATACAAACAAGCAAAAGGAAGAATTTTTTTTGCTTTGCGTATGACTTTATGAGGTTAGAGCTCTCAGAGAGTATTCATCAGGTAACAAAAATTATAATCACAGTAATTAATATACAATGAAATCAAATGCAACAATTGAACAGCCATTGAATCACGGAATTGTTCACCTCCAAGAAATTAGGAGCTAACTGGATGCAGCAGAAGCTGAGGTTGCTCGATCTGCATCTATCATTGACTTGATGTAGTACTCACCAGCTTTGTATGAAGATCGCACCATGGGACCAGATGCCACATACCGAAATCCCTGCAGGAAATTCAAAATGTTAAAACATTAGCTGTTGAAGTTTAAAGAGACAGTAATCTTGTCTGTCTTGAAAGTCCAAGCAATTTACAAAATGCTTAGAACATACCATCTCCATTCCAAGTACTCTATATTTATCAAAAGCTTCTGGAGTTATATACTCCGACACTGGCATGTGGCGCTTTGTCGGTCTCATATACTGACCGAAGGTCATCACATCAACACCAGCTGCTCTCACCTTTTCCATAGTACTCACCACTTGGTCAGGTGTCTCACCACAACCCAACATTACCGATGTCTTAGTTAGGGTGCCAGCAGGAGCGTATTCTTTAGCCAACTTAAGAACATCTATAGATTGCTTAAAGTTAGCACGTCGATCTCTAACAACACTCTGAAGTTCTTCCACTGTCTCAATATTGTGAGCAAACACATCTAGCCCAGATACAGAAACTTTCTCAACACAGGCAGGGTCCCCGCGGAAATCAGGAACTGGAGAAGTTGCAAAAATGACAGAGTTAGAAAGGCGAGTCTTAAATAAACAGACACACATTAAAGACTTAATAGGCAAATAAAATAGAAATGTTTAGCTCTGTTTCCAAGTATTCTGTAGCCTAACAGGAAGGGAGGACAAAGAAAGGTATATACAAAGCCTGATCAATCAAGCCAGCACCATCAAAATTTTCAGTTAAGCTACTGTAATTCTGTTCTACCTCTCCCCCCCCCCCCCCCCACACACACACACAATCTTTCCACCATCGATGACAATAACATAGCTACTACTTCACACGCATCAATTGCAAGGAAGCTACCGAGGAACTCCAATATTTGCTAGTTTGGTTATTCATTCTCAGGGACAATATCCGAAAAGAGTATAGGAACTGAAAGAGCATATGAGAGCATGATGAAGCACGGCAATCATTGAGTACAGAAAGTGGACACTCCCTTGATTATCTTCCTAGGACGCATGTTAAGGGCTAAATGGTATCAGAGATGATAAAACAGCAGGACTTCTCATATAGACAAAAATTGAGTAATTTAAACAGTACAAAGAAGTTTCTAGTACCAAGAGCCTCTATCAGCATAGAGGGCTTTAAAGTCTTCAATTTCTGCACAGTCTCAGCAAAGTGGCCACTACCCTGATCAGGTAAATCATCTCGGTCAACACTTGTAATTACTACATAATCAAGGCCCCAGGATGCAATAGCCTCAGCGACGTTAGTTGGTTCATTTGGATCTGGTGGGGGAGGAGTTCTGGAAGTCTTGACATTACAGAACCTGAGAACCAACATATTATAATCTTACAAGAATATTCGAAATATTATTGGAAAGGGAACTTAAGCAAGCAAATTGTTCTATAGGTAGAATTATAAAAGCTATCACAAATTGTCCACATATGAAGCACACACAATCCCATTGCTCTCCTAGTAAAACGGTCCAGCCTAGGACTTTGTGCTCTTGCTCAAAAGTAGATTCCAAGAATGGGTCTTATACGGTTGGCAACTTGGCATGAGCCGGGTTTCGGGTTAGGGGTAAATTCCATTCTAACCAGTAGAAAGTGGCATAGTTAAGAGTTAAGAAAGTTTAGTAATCCCACTTTCGAGGCAAGCCCTAGAAATTCGCAAAGAATTTTCATCAGAAATCCTTCCTCATAAGCAATTTCTAAAGCACTACATATACAAGGTCCTTTGATTCAAGTTTCTCACTATAAAAACATATTTGAGTTCAAATTCCCCTCACATGAACATTGCTTAAACCAGGTTTTCCATCACTAATAATGCCACAGTCCAAAATCAAATGCTAACAAAAATGACCTGATTCACTAATCCCCGCCTCCTCCCCTGGCAAAAACTATGATCCAGAACTTTCAAATAGGTATGTGGTATATGATATAGTGGTACACATTTTAACTAGTTAACAAGATAAGGCAGTGACATTCCAATACCCGTTCCACATACCAGACATTTGATTTAAGTAATCCTGAAGCTAATATTCCATAATTCAGGTAAGCAACTCCACCATGCATTGCCTAACGAAAGATTCACCCATTCAGCTTGACGATTTAAGAAAAAAAGACACCACAATTTATGGCAAACAAAGGTAGATATACAACTACAGTGCTCCAAACATCCCCCATGATCACGGATTCAGGTCAGTGGTCACCTAAGCTAAAGCATAACTCGTGCCTTCACATGGTTAAAAAAATAAGCAAACAAAGAATTCTAACTTTTTGTTTGATTCCAAGCAGCTAGAATTTAATCAAGCAACCCAATATGAATTCCCAAATAATTCCAAAATTGGAAGCACATTGCAAGTGACTTCATCACAAATACCAAACAATTTGTTATCTTCTCCAAAATCAAATCTTTCCTACCAAATAAAAAAATCAACACTCCATCCAATCTCAAATACCAAATTATTTTCAATCCAACAAACTACAAATCATTTCCACATTAATGTATACATCTAAATAACACCAGCCAAAATCAAATGTATAATTATTAACCATTTTACACCATCAATTCCATACAAACTAATCAATTTTAATCCGATTCACGCAGTATAAATCAAAGACAATCATTTCTAATAATCTACATAAAAATCATCATCAAATTCAACAAAAAGCAACAAAATAAATCAAATTGAAAAGCAAAAAAAGCAGAAACCAACCTACAACCGCGAGTACAAGTATCACCCAAGATCATAATAGTAGCAGTAGCAGTCCCAGTCTCACCACCAGACCAACATTCCCCTAAATTAGGGCAACGAGCTTCTTCACAAACAGTGTGCAAATTCAAATCCCTCAATTTCTTCTTAATCTTGGTATACTTATCACCTCCAGGAATCGATTCCTTCATCCATTTGGGTTTAGGAAGAGGCTTCTTCTTCGTCCCAACTTCGACGGAATACTCTTCGTTACGCTGCAATCGGATGAACTCGTCTAGGGTTGGAGATTCGTCGGCTAATCGACGTCGGAGTAATTCTAGGGTTTTGGATTGGGGTTCGGGAGGAGAGAGAGTGGATTTAGGGCGGAGTTGGAGGAGAGAGTTGATTGACTGTGGGTTGTTGCGGTGGTTCAGATGGCGGAGGATGGGAGTTAGCCGAGGATACATTTTTCTTTTTCTCCCCGGTTTTCTTTGTTTTTCCTCCCGTTTCTCGGTTTTGTTTTTCCTGCCTTTAAACTACCTTATTTAATTCTTAGGTGTCAATTCGTGTGTTCGGATCGGGTTCGGTGAGGTTAGATAGGATTTACCGGTCTATTTTAAAACTTGAATCATGTTAATTAAAGTAACCACGCCAGTCGAAATCTAAATCGGATATTTTTCGAGTCGGTTTTGGATCAGGTTGGGTCGGGTGTGGTTTAGAGATTTGACACCTCTATTCCGATGTGTGGGTTCGGCTTGTTAATCTGATTTTTACTTATCTGAATTAATTATTCGTTTTGAACTATTTTTTTCAGTTTGGGACAAAAAGTTTAAGTAAAGTGAATTGAAATTAACTTAAATAAATTTAAATGAAATAAGCTAGACCTAGAGTTAAAAGTTGATTTGATGTGATCTACTATTAATTGTAATTGGAGATTGTATTAAGTACATATTAGGCATGACAAATTGAACAGAAAACTATCAAAATTTGGCAACTTCATCTCTATAAAAAGGTAATTAATCTCATGATAATATGTCATAATCCATATAGACCATATGTCTTAACCCTTTATAGTTTCATTCACTTTCACCCAATGCAACATTGTACTATCAACTACTAACTAAGCTTGCAAGCATATGTGAGCCAGAAATTGTTTGAATTTGCATTGGCAGATTGTTTCTTCAACAATGGTTAAGCAAAATTTGATATTTGGTATTTAATTTGAAACAATTGATCGAATTATTAAATAGCTTAGTGAGTTTAACACAGGGTCACAGGCGGTGGATCGATCAAGGATAAAAAAATAAAAAAATAAAAACATAGGTGGATTAGTGGTCACCACTTTGTACAAAAAGAAACTTAGTATGGTTGTGGATTTGAGGGTACCCACTCCATATTTCATTTTTGTGTGATAAAGTTTGTGGATTAGTTGTTGTCAAATTTACAGAAAAACCCTAAAAAAAAAAAAAAAAAAAAAAAGGGTAATACCTAAAGGGAATTTTTTTTAAATCATCAATTTAATTTAATTAATTATGGAAAGATTCTCATTATATTGGTTATTATAAATAATAATCTTATTTTTAAGGCTACTTATATGACTCAAGGGTTTATCTATTTTATTATTCCCTCCGTTTTTTTAATTTGCATCACTTTTCTTTTATGGATGTTTTTTTTAAATGCATCACTTCTATATTTGGTAATTTTATATTATATTTTATCATTTCTCTTTCGTACTTTAAACTTCACTTAAATTATTTTATCATTTCTCCCTCTTCTATGGTCTCCACTTAAATAATAAAAATATATATTCTCTCTCACATTCTTTTTCTTTCATAGTCCCTATCTTATTTTTACTATAATAATTTATTTACCCACTTACAATATTATATTACACTTCTAAAACTTTGTACATTCCTAAGTGATGCAAAAAAAAAAAAAAAAAAAAAAAAAAAAAACGGAGAGATTATACTCTAATTTGGCTGATATATTACATTATTCAAGGTTACTATTCTCATCAATTAGAAATTTTCTATATTAATTTAGGGTATGTATGATGTATCCTAATAATATTTATTTATTTATTTTTTTATTTGAAAAAAACTGGAGTGGAATTATATCAAATCAAGTTCTTGTGAGGCTTTGGGAAAAAGGTCCAAAACAAACAAACTCATCACATCCTCAGTGTCCCATCTAGCAACTAGAGTATTTCCCGCCTGTTTTACATGAGAACAATAAAAGAAATCAAAAGACAAAGAAATAGTAACAATATCATCCAAAATAAGGGAGAAGGGAGTGAACCCAATAGCCTTTGAAATGATGCCCGAAACAACCGAGCTAGCGTCGCACTCCAGTTGAACCTTTGAGTAGCCCAACCGTCTAGCCAAACTCATACCAAACCTGCAAGCCGCAGCTTCCGCAACATCAGCTGTCCACACCGCACCAGTTCGTCTAACAGCTGCAGCAATAATAGTCCCCTTATTCATCCCTCATCACCACACCCAGCTTTGATTCGGCTCCAATTTTTGAAATATTTGGCTTTCAAAATAGAATGCAATAGCGTACCCGAGTTACGGTAGAGCCTCCAACACTGCTTTGCAAGAAGAGCCAGATTAAAACATTGTAAATCACGAAATCCCATTCCACCTTCACTCTTTGGTCGACATAGTAAATCCCACCTTTGCCAATGCAACTGTTTTGTCGAAACAGATACCGCATCATCATACATTTTATCTCTATGCACGAATTGCTCATTAATTTTGGTTAGCTGGGTTAAGAAAAAGACTTAATTGAAGAATTGCTCATTAACAAGTAAAACATCAATTCGTATGTACAGTTATTGATTAAGCTGGACAAATATTTAGATATCGAGGTTGCGAAATTGTATGAAAAATCATAATAAAACTAAACTTTCATTAATGCAATCAAATAATCATATTAAACAACCACGTACTTCGTATAATCATCACAGATATTACTACTTTGAACTACATAGTACATAGAACGTAACATATACCGAGAATATTTAACATAACCGTTTAAAACCAAAGAAACTAATAAACATATAAAACCAGCTGCTGGATTTTAATTCTTCTTAGAGATGTCTTTAGTCTTCTCTTCATCATCAATGTCTTCCTTTGGACTCGACTCGACTTTTTCCACTTCCAGTGTACCAAGATTGTCAAAGTCAGAGTCGTAACCCTCTTCCTCGGTGCAACAGTTCCATTCATCTAGGCTGAAACTGACCGTGGCGAAATTCGTAATCACACGCATTCTAGGCTTCCTAGAACGTGGTACTACTCTTGGTTTATTCGACTCCTTGTTCACTCCCAAGAGTCCCAACGTAAAAGACTTCCTTACCCTCGCAACGTCACCATTGCCGTGTCAGTGTTGGTAATCAGAGAGTTTGGGACTCATATTTAAAGGTTACGAATGAACTAAACTTGGTAGCAACAAATTAAAGAAGAGACTTCTTTTAATGATGGAAAAAAACCAAAGACTTGAAACTGCAGAATATCTCTAATAATTTGAAGTAATTTTGGAATGATAGAAGTCATGAGCTAAGGAGTAATTTATAAGGGGTTGCAAAAGCGGTGTATTTACTACGTGATCAACAAGAATCCTAAAAAAATTAGGAAAGTTTTATTATTATTTTGAGAAAAATATTAACCCTAACCGACTATCAAAACCCTTGTACATCACAAATTCACTGCATACTACTCCGTATACGGTATATACTACTATATTCAGATATATTGATGATTTTAATGGTAAAAAATATAGGGATAAAGATTACTCGTATGTATAATCGAATCAAACTTTCAAAAACAAATTGAATGGAGTTTAATTTTTCAATAACAATATAGTACAGTATAATCTAGCAAAAAGATATTAGAACAATTAAACTTTTCTATATGGCTTTAATAATTTGAAGTCTAATCAAATACTTATTCCATCGCACATTATTATTTGTAGAATCAATAAAAAGTAAATCAGTTCTTCTTCAAGAAAAAAAAAAACCTTTATTATTATTATTATTATTATTATTATTATTATTTTATTTTTATTATTTTTTTTTTAAATAAAACTTAATTTGTGTAATTTGTTTGCTTTTGATATAGTCAAGGATATTTTGAGGAATATTATTGTCAGATTTTTATAGATATTTGGAAATCTTATTCAGTTTAGCTTTAGACAAGAAAAATATATATTGAAAGTAGTAAATAGTAATTGCCAAAATTTAATAACATACTGACTGTATGCATAACACCCAAAACACAATATTATATGATTCAACATTACAACCAGTTGATCAAATTAATAACAAACGTCAAAATGGTTCAAAACTGCAAAAGCAAAAAGAAAATAAAATTGCAGTCTCACAAAGTCTGCTTGATCAAACACACACTTGGTTATCGAGGACAAAAGATAGATAGCAGGTCCAGCATTTTCACATCTAACATATCTCAACAGCCAATAGCACACCTATGAGATAAGAACATGAAAACGAGTTATCGTGTAAATATATATACGCTAAGCATGAAATCGTATAATAGTAGAAAGTTAGTCGTAAAAAGGATAAGATGCAGTTCAAACCTCAAAATTTTTAAGTTTAATTTCACCAGTGTACGCGCACTCACAGTTTAAGTTAGTCGTAAAAAAGGTAAGATGCAGTTCTTTTTTTTTATTGGCGGGAAGATGCAGTTCAAACCATCCAAATCATGCCTACAAAGATCAAGAGTATCAAAAAAAAGAAAATCCAATATTTCCAACACCACGATGTATAAGACACTATCAATAGAGCAAAATTAGTCACAAATCACAGTGGAACATATGAAAAACAGTACCTTTCATTCTTGTTCGTACTTTTCTGAAATCCTTTGGGTGGTTGCTCATGAATAACCGGGAAATTTCTTGTAGTGTTACCAATCGGAACAAAACTACTTGAACACAACACAGTATCAAATGCTTTAGGCAGGCCGGAGATTTTGACATAATCAATTGTCTTCTTGGTCAAGTTGTACCAAAGAAACTTTTCATTATCTTGCTCAAAAAGGATTTGAGTGCCATCCTCTGAATATGTTAATGGCTTCAGATAATCGAAGCATCTGATTACATTAGGCTGCGAGATGGAAACCAGTTTTGTCCAAGACTCAGAAAGATAGTCATCCATCACCCACAAATCAAAGCTTTCTTTAGGGTAATGACAGAGAAAACAAAGACTACCCCCTAAAAGACCAATATTCATGTAAAATTCGGTGTCAACGTAATTTGGCTGAGCAACCTCCCTGCATTTCTCCACTCCAAGATCAAAAGCTATGAGCAGATTTGAGTTACTGTACAAGTCGGGACTTTGACGTGCCACCCAATGCAAAGCTCCACTTGCATAAACTCCATAGCATGGATAGCAAACAAAGTAAGAAAAATGATGCATCTGTTTCCAACTTTTGGCTTTCAAACTATATACTTGAACTTCATTATGAACTGTACCACCTTTGAGACGGTTGTGCTGCTGTAACATAGAGACAATCTTGTAGTCATCAGTAGTATGATCATAGCCAAATCCTTGGATATAGTAACGAAAGTGATTGAAAGCATGCTCAAAATGAAAATCAGGACAAGGAATTTTTTCATGTTTGCCAGTATATGGATTCCAAAGGGCGAAGTTCTGGTCCTTGCACAAGCAGATTAAACCATTACAAGAACCCACAATATCAGTATATTCATGATCATATAAAAGTGGGTGACTGATCTCAACGGCTTTATTGAGAAGCTGAGCATTCACTGAGAAAAACCTATCCCCCTTAAGAATGAGTGACAAACCACTGTTGCACTTCCTCGGAACTTCAAGATGCATCTTAATAAAATCTGGCCCGTGAATGATATTGTACCATGTCTTGCAAACACATTGAATCTGCACAAGGGTCTTAACAGGAAGTTGAGAAAAGATATGACAAAGCACTTTCTCTGGAAGGGCTGCTAAAAGACTGCTCAACTTCAATGGTTGTTCCTTTTGCCTTGTCACAGCATGATTTCTGCAATGAACAAAAAAAAAGAAAACAATGTGATGAATGAAATAGGGTTTTCCAATAAAGAATTTCAAATTGCTAATATATCCTCATAAACAATCTCTTAAATAAATAAATAAAAAAAAAAAAAAAAAAAGCAACTGACTGAAGGAAAAAGTAGGATTCATATCTTACAAAGGTAAATGATATATGTAACCAAGATACCTAATATATATGTATAAGAAACCATAAGTAGACAACTAAAAGCATTTGATAACCGGATGACGCATTTATCATACATTCTGAATATTATAGCATTTCAGAAAATTGTGTTATATTTTAATACATAAGAACATAACCCCTAGGGATACATAGAGCAAAACCCTTTTCAATGAGAACCTTATTTGTTGAATCTTTACTGCCAAAAAAACAATATAGCACCAGATAAAGTATAGGTAGCACAACAGGAAAGAAAACAAAATATTGAACAACTATGACCCAAAGAAATCTATGCAAGTGATCAAACTAGAGAAAGGTACACACCAAAATGAACAAAAACTGTAAACAACAATACCCTGGTGAATTAACAAAGCAGGCATGAAGGTGAAAGTAAAGATCAAGATATAAATCTACTACCTCATCTGGTTCTTATGGCTGAAAATTTCAGGATCAAGTAGACTTCCAGAAAAGACCTTTGCTCTGAATAAATTTGGCAGGTGACGTATATTAACATGCCTAATTGTCTTCTTTTGCAAGTTATACCAGACAAACTTTTTAAAGTCTAATTCCAACAGAAGTTCACTACCATTCTTAGAGTACATCAATGGTGTGATATACTCAAAGTATTTAATTGGCCTAGGGTGAGTAATTGAAATTAGTTTGCACCACTGATTAGAATCCTTCATTGCCCACATATCAGCACCGTGTTTTGGGTATGTGCAAATTATACAAAGAGATTCTCCTAAGAGCTCCAAGCTCATGTGGAAATGTATGTCATCATATTCTGGTTGTTGCACTACTCTGCACTTTTCGAGACCAAGATCAAACGCCATAGTTAAATAGGAGGTACTATCCATCTCATGCCTTCGGCGTGTAACCCAGTGCAACGCTCCATTTGCAAAAACACCAGGGTATGCGTCACAGATAATGTAGGGGAAATTATCAATCCTTCTCCAATTGTTGGCTTTCAAACTGTAAATATGGACCTCAGAGCCAGCAAATGTGTCACTATCAGGGTCCAGGAAGCCATATTCATCAAAACCACAATAGTGGTAACACTGCAAACACTGGACAACCGTGTAGTCATCAAAAATAGGATCATATCCAAATCCATAAATTAACGAGTGGTAGATATTTGAATCATTTTGGGAATCAGTAAAGAGAGAAAGGAAGGGAGAAATTTTAGACTGGGATTCAGAAATAGGCAACCTAAGACATTTTCCAGCCAGGGGATTCCATAGAGCAACATCTTTATGTTGGTTGGCTATACACAACAAGCCATTGCATGAACCCTCTATATAAGTCCAGCCCTCAGTGCATGTTAAAGGGTGGTTGACCTGAACAGCTCTATTCAGATTAAGATCAACCATATGCAGCTTCTCCTCTCTAATAATGAGGTTCAAGTTTTCATTGCTTTTTCCAGACACCTCAAGATGCATTTTAGCAAAATCAGGTTCACGAATAAGATTATTCCATTCCTTGCAAACACATTTTAACGGCAAAAGGGACATAGCAGGAAGACGAGACCAAATGTTGTAAAGTAGAATAGTTGGGAGTGTTGCCAACTGACTGCTGAGCTGCGCATATCTGCAATATGTCAAAAAAAAAAAAAAAAAAAAAACAATAGCCAACAAATTAATAACTGAAAACAAAATTAGTAACTTCAGGGTTTCAGCACTTTATCAATATTATGACAAGAAAAAGATGAAAAAATGATGCATTCTTAAATACTTTTCATAAGGTATCAAGGGAGTAGTATTGACACCAAGAAAAAGGAAATTATAAAAGAAAGGGCATTGCAACCTAAATACCTAATACAAGGTATTAACTAGAATAACATTTTAATAAGTGCTTACCAAATTCAATGATTGTGCATAAATAAACCACCATGATGCATAATATATGAACTAATTCTCTACAGGTATCAAAATATCTCCATCCACAAAAATTAATAGCCATCATACTCTAAGACAAGTAAACAACAACTAGAATCATTCAACAACATTACTTTCATCTATAAGGAAAATCAAACAGTTATTTTTTTTTAACTCACAAAATAATATTTACATTCCAGTTGGAGATTCAACCACAATCTAAATTCCAAAAGATTTAAGATAGATTCAATGCTCCAACTCTTATATTTCTGTAAGAAATTTTCTCCTCGCTTTTCAATGTTACCACAAAAAAAAAAAAAAATGGAAACTCAAAGAATAACTCTGAACAGTCACAAGGTTCATATCTTAAAACCTCACTTTTGCTAAATTTAGTCCACCAAATTTTACAATCACTTCAACCATTGAGAAGCACATATATCTCACACAAATAATCCCTCATTGAAGTGACGACAGAAAACAAATGAGCTTGCACTCTCCAGTTGTCAGCAATTTAACACAGAATCTTGCTATACATGAGGACTGACCAACAGTAAATAATTGTCATTCTCTAAAAAATAATTGTTTATTTTTAAAAAATAATAGTCGATTAAATCAATATTTTAACATGATTTTGCAAGCATATTCAACTCCCATGTACTATCGTTACTACCTACGTTCTTATCCACCTTATCTTACATCCACTCAGATTTTCCAACCTTTCCAAGAGCCTGCCTAATCTAAGTGTTCCATCATAAAAGGGGAGAAAGTATAAATCAAGTATGAACTTTTAAAAATGGAGAAAGTATGTACGATAAATTTGAAAAAAGATGGATACCTATACATGAATTAGATTCCTATGCATCCAAGGATAAGGCTTAAAGCATTGACTTCCCTTTTATTTTTAGATTTTCCCTTCTCATACTATTTCCATGAAACAACAAAAAATCTAGCAAAGTAAATTCAAGTAATCTACTAAATAGTGCACACTTAAGGCCTGTTCTCTTCGCCATATTTAAACTCAAATTATTTTTACTGTACTGAAATTATTTTTGCTGAACTTATATGTTTTACAGAACTGAAATTATTTTTACTAATTTTCTATTACATTTGTTCTTTAGACTTATTTTAAAGAGCTAGAACTATTTTTACTGTATTTTTTTATGGTAAAGAGAACAAGGCCTAAGTTCAAACCATTAAATACACATTTGCCAAATTCTTAGTCCACTGCACTTTGTGTAACTGCCTAAGACATTTGGAAACAGAGGCCTCTCCCATTCATTTTCCCAATTCTTACACATTAGACAGAAAAAAGAAATAGCACTCTCCTCCAGACAAAAAGCTTAACACAAAATTGCACTAAGGCGAACATTTAACCAACAAATTCTATAAAGAGGCGAAAAGAGCAGTATAACCTGCCTCCTTCCTCTGCATTTATCTATACGATAATCTCTCTTTAATTTAATGTTGTTGTCATTTACTAAAAGGTATTCATCAGCCATAACAATCTTTTACATAAGATATACAGAGTACTTCATATGAGAATGATTCTTACTACCAACCTATTTACTTATAATGTCCTTAGCCGACCCCCTCCCGCTCCCCCACCTGCCTTATTCTTCTTTTCCAAAATTAAGCCACCCCTAGGAAAGGCTAGAGAAAGACAGCATGCCAAGCCAATCATACAAATCTAGCAAATTTAACAAGAGAACTACAATAAATTAACTTATCTACCACATTTCACATAGATAGAGAGAAGAAGACTCATCCAACATACCATAGCTACTTAAACTATCTAAAGCCACATAAGGAGAGAAGAGGATTCATCCAACATACCACGATAGTGCAATAAAGGTACAAACAGATAATGCAACTAACAATACTTCGTAATAATGGTGACAGCATCACAACAATGTTATCATGCAAAAACCACGCATCAAATGACAATAGAATCATACAAAAAGTTCATTATTAAGCTACAAACATAAGAAGGCAGAGAAGTACAACATATCATGCTACCTCTTCTTTTTAGGCTTCTTTTTCTTCTTCTTCTTCTTGGGACAATCAAGTGGAACAAGGCTTTCCACCATCAGTACCGTGTCAATTGAATCAGGAAGACCACAGGTGTTCACAGTCTTAGATCTTCGCCGCTTAAGATCAAGCCACACAAGCTTCTCAAAGTCTTTCTCAAAGAGCACCTCCTCAGAACCATTCTTATTCAAGTAAACAATTGGCTTCAAAGATTGATAGAAACCAACACACTCCCTCTGAGGAACCGTAAACAGCTTAGTCCATGATGGTCTTCACCCCATACTCCTTCATGATCCACACATCAGTCCGAACTCTACGGTAAGCTACCTGAACCATAAGGCACCCATCAAGGACCCCTAAATTAGCAGAATAATTCAGGCACCCATCAATGACCCAATCAGTAGAACAATTCGAAGTCACTCGATCATAATTAGGTTGTGGCACAACCTTGCATTTTTCCGTCCCAATATCGAATGCAATAAGCACATTCACCCCATCGACGCTGGTTTTCGAACATACAACCAATGCAAAGACCCATTCAAATAAACTCCCCCAGAAATGCTATTACCAATGTAATATTTATTAGAATATTCTCTAACTCTCTTCCAAGTATTAGCCTTCAAACTATATAATTTCACTTCACTAACATGATCATCACTATTATCAGAAAACATTTGAATAACACGCACCAATTTATAATCATCATTCACATGATCATATCCAAAACCATAAACTACCCTATTAAGTTCTTTAAACCCAGGAATTTCAACAGGAGAAACAGGCAATACCCGGTATTTTCTCGTCGACGGGTTGTAAATAAACGCCGCAATTCCATCAGCCAAACACAGCAATCCATTGCAAGAACCCACAATCTCTGTTTCAAAAGAATCACAATCAAAGGGGCAATTGATTACTGTGGCACGATTCAAAGTGGGGTAATCGACGGAGTAAAGATAGGGATCTTTGTTGGTGGAATTGTGACTACCACCATATAAGAAAATGTCGTTAATTATGAGGGTTTGATGAGTAGAGTTTTGCAAAGAGTTTTTGAGATGAAGATTGATGAAATATTGTTCGTCGATCAAAGACCGCCACGATTTTGCGACACAACGGAAGCGTAGAAGAGACTCGACTGGAAGTTTTGAGAGAATTATAGTGATTAATGGCGTCGGAAGATCCGCCATTGTTGTGCCTTGCATGCAACTATGGTACACTCCAGGGTTTAAAAATTACAGTTTCCAAGAAATATGATAGGACTCGATTGAGGGTTCGTAAGGTTGTAAACTAGTAACCCCACGATTCATTTGTGTTAAAGCCTTAAAAGGTGATCATCCGGGCTAGGCTGAGTCTTAATATTAAATGTTGTGCCCAAATTCGTAAAAAAGTGGCGGGTTATTGGGTTGAAACGGACTTGTCGAACTGAATTGGGCTTTTGGGCTGGCTTTGGGTTTTTAACTAAAAAAATGGTTTTTTTTTTTTTTTTTTTTGCTTACCCAAACTTGTCCTATTTTCGAGTCGGGCAAGCAGGGTGGGCCATAATTAATCACCTCTAACTTGTGTAAGTTGTGTATGTTCTCTTCACGTTATTTTTGCTGAAATTAATTTTATTTTGCTGAATAACACTTTGTTCATTTCACCTCAAAATAATACAGTAGTATTTATGAAAAATTGTTTCACTTCAGCCAAAATAAGTTTAGTTAAGTCAAAATAGTTAAAATTAGTAATTTTTGAAAAAAAATATATGATGGAGAATCAATAAAAATTTTAGACCAATTAACACTTGGCTTTAATGTGTAGAGTTTTTTTTTTTTTTTTTTTTGGGAGGGGGGGGTATGTGTAAAGATGAGTATGAACTATGAAGGATATGTTTAAGAGGGGAACTCTCACAAAGCATGCATAACACATTAACACAACAATTATTTGGTAAATAACTTTTTCTATGGTCAAATAATCAAAGTATGTATATGAGTATATGTTATTTGCATTGACTTTTTTGTTGACTAAAAAGCTAACTTTTTCGTCAAAAGTCAAAAGCTAGTAAGACTAGCTTTTTTGTGTTGGCGATATGCTTTTAACGTTTACATATACTTTTCAATTCTAACAACCAAATTTACCAAACATATTTATTTAAAAGTCATTAGTCAAACATCTAACATTAAAGGCTAAGACAAACAGTTGGTTAGACCGGCCAATAGAAAAAGCTAGCAACTAACTGCCAAACAAGGTCTATACCTACGGAATATATACTCTGTAATAACACAAACCACAAGTGTCATGTATCCTCCTTTCCTTTATTTTTTCTTTGTCCAATTTCTTTAATTTTTTCCAAATAAGAAAATATAATAATCTTGTTTTCAATTCACGATAAGTATATAATGTTTATTTCATATCCATTGATTCAATAACATATATGGGTGCATTTTGATGGTTACTCCTTCCTCTTCCTTTTAACTAAATCTTCATTTTTCTAAAGAGAAAAGCATAAACTAAAAAAACGCATTTTAATTTTGTAAGAATACATTTTTTATTTTCCAATTTTACTGGTAGTATTAATAGCTTTGTGCGTTGCATGGATAACATGATAATTACAATGATAAAAGCAAAACCACAACGGTTCGTCAAGATATGGTTTGAAGGATGAGGTATTTTCTTTCCTTTTCAAAATGCATTTTTACAAGACTAAATAAACGATCAATTATCACAAAAAAGGCTGGATAAATGTTTAGATAGCGTATATAATTCACAAAATCGAGGTTGCGAAATTTGTATGAAGAATCATGTAATAAAACTAAACGTTCATTAATGCAATCAAATATTCAAATTAAACAACTACATACTTCGTATAATCATCCACAGATATAAGATATTACTACTTGGAACTACACAGTACATAAGAACATAACATATACCAAGAATATTTAACATAACAGTTTAAAACCAAAGAAACTAAACATATATAAAACCGCTGGATTTTAATTCTTCTTAGGGACGTGTTCTTCGATCAGCTGCCTCTGATCTTTAGACTTCTCTTCATCATTATCATCAATGTCTTCGACTCGACTCAACTCGACCTTTTTCACTTCCAGTGTACCAAGATTGTCGAAGTCAGAGTCGTAACCCTCTAACTCGGTGCAATTGTTCCATCCATCTAAGCTGAAACTGACCGTAACGAAATTCGTAATCACACGCATTCTAGGCTTCCTAGAACGTGTTACTACTCTTGCTGGTTTATTCGACTCTTTCTTCACCCCCAACAACTTTATCTTCACCCTGGCATTGTCACGATCACCATTGCCGTGGCGGTCTTGGAAATCAGAGGATATGGGACTCATGGTTGAAGGTTACGAATGAATTAAAACTTGGCACCAATAAATTAAAGTAACGACTATTTTTTTTATGGCAAAAAAAAAATATAGACTTGGAGCTCAAGAATGCCTCTAACAATTTGAAGTAATTTGGAATAATACAAGTTAAGAGTTAGGAGTGTTTATAAAGAGGTGCAAAAGCGGTGTACTACGTACAGTTATCACCAAGAAATCCTAACGAAATCTGATAAGATTTTAACCTACATTATGGAAAGTTTTATTTATTTTTTTGAGAAAAATATAAAATGCAAACCGACTATTAAAACTCTTGTACATCACTATTTCACTACATACTATGTATTTTTTTTTTCTCATCTTCATATATATTGATGATTTTAACGGTCAAAAAATATACCCGAGAGTGGAGACTATGTATAATTGAGTCAAACTTTTAAAATAAATGGAGTTTAATTTTTGGATGACAATAAGTTTTTATCAAGAATATATTTGAACAATTGCATGGCTTTAATAATTTTAAGTCTTTTCAAAAAAAATAAAAATAAATAAAATCTAATGGAGTATTAAGGGAGCAAGCCCCAATTTATAACCTTGATAAACAAATTAGGTTTACCAAATGACATTTTCGTAAATAAGATGCATTGAAAAATGTGTTTTTTTATTTAAAAAAATATATATTTTTACTGTTTGTGGGCCACTATGACAAGTTGGACAGATTTTTAAGTTAACATCGTTAACTCACCGTTTGCTACTATTCATCATCTTCTTCTTCCCACCTTCTTCTTCTTCATGTTCATCTTCTTCCTCATATTCATATTTTTTCTTCCCACCCACCTTAATCTTCTTCCTTCAATCTCTGCCCACTTTCACCTCCTCTTTTAAGTCCATTTGACATCATTTCCACCGGCTTCGCCGGCGAAATTAAACGAAAACCCTAATAACAAAAGGAGAAATTAATGGCACGGTTAACCCTAAAGGGTAGCTGAGTTTTCCTTCCTCCATTTAATTCGACTTCGCACCGCCATTTTCGATGGCTTCGCAGCCGGAATTAAACGAAAATTAAGCCCAAATAACAAAATGAAAATAACGAGCATGGTTAACTTTAGAGGGTAGGTAAGCTTTTCTTCCTCCATAGATAGCACTTGTTCGAGTCATAGTGAAAAGGTGTACTTTCCAGTTTCGTCATTGAAATTGAAGGTTGAAGGAGAAGTGAAGATTGAAGGAGGAGAGAGAAAATCAGAAAATAGCAAAAGGTTGAAAGAGAAGAGAGAAAACAACTGTTAACCAAAGTTAGATGTAATTTACACACACCCCTTGATAAACAATTTTTGTTTATCAAGGTTATACACTTGTATTTTCTCGTATTAAGGATACATATGCTTAATAACTCCATTGCACAATATTATTTGTAGAATCTAAAAAAAGTTAATTAGTTTGGTTTTGATGTAATAAAGGGTAAAGGGTATTTTGAGGAATATTGTTGTCAGATTTTTATAAGTTTTGGAAATCTGATTAAGTTTAGACAAGAAAAAATATACATTGCAAGTAGTAATTGCCAAGATTTAATAACATACTGAGTGTATAACATACTGACTGTATAACACACAAAACACAATATCATATGATTCAACATTACAAATTTACAACCAGTTGATCAAATCAATAAAAAAACGTCAAAATGGTTCGGAACTGCAAAAGCAAAAAGAATAAAATTGCAGAGTCGCATAGTCTGCTTGACTAAACACACACTTGGCCGTCGAGGACAAAAGATAGAGAGCAGGACCAGCATTTTCACATCTAACATATCTCAACAGTCAACAGCATTACAGCACACCTATGAGATAAGAACATGAAACAAGTTAACAATATGGCTGCAAATGAATCAAAACACAGTTTAAGCAGAAGAAATCAGAAATGCAAATGAACCATTTTTCACAGAGCTGTTCTTTAAGTAAACTTAGACCATAAACACATAAAATGCTATAGTGTTTACCACCCCTTTTTGAGATGTTATGATCAAAAGTGTAATGCTAAGCATAAAATCATATACTAGTAGAAAGTTAGCTGTAAATAACAGCTAAAAAAGATAGGATGCAGTTCAAACCTCAAGATTTCCAAGTTTAATTTCATCAGTGTATGCGCGAACTCAAAGTTTAAGTTTAAATCCTTTGGATAAGAAACCATCCAAGTCATGCCTACAAAAATCAAGAGTATCAAAAGGAGAAAATCCGAAAATTCCAACACTGCATTGTATAAGAAACTAACATAAATAGAGCAAAATTAGTCACAAATCACAGTGGAACATATGAAAAACAGTGTGATCACTGATCAGCGAACTAGTGCTTTCCAATATTAAAAAAAATAATAATAAATTAAATTTAAAAACAAACAAACAAACAAATTGCTACAATTACCTTGTAAGTAACCTTGAATAAAAAATCCAAAACAAATAAAATATTTTCAAGAAGAATGTAAAATTCATATCTTATACTCGTATGGCCTAAGAGCTATGTATAAGAAATCAAAAGTAGACAACTAAAGCATTTAATAGCACAGGATGAATGGATGATGCGAATGTAATTTGTCCTCTAAATACTACAAAGTATAATATTTTTGAGAGATCATATTTAATTTTTATTCATAACCTATTGAGTGATAGAGATACACATAGCAAAACCATTTTCAAAAACCCATACGCAAAAAATTTGATAACCTTCTTTTTTGCATCTTTACTGCCAAAAACAATATAGTACCAAATTGAGTAAAGGTAGCACAACAAAGAAAACTATCAACACTGAACGACTAAGCCAGAGAACTCTATTATAGAAATTGACCTATAGGAAACGATACGCACAAAAACAATGAACAACAATATCCTGGTGTAATCAACAAAACCGGGTTGAAAGAGAAAACATCAATATATAAATCTGCTACCTAATCTAGTTTTTATGGCTGAAATTCTCACTTCCAAACAATTCTATGCATTTCTCAAAATTGACACCTATACTTTCAGGATCAAGTAAACTTCCAAAAGACCTCTGTTCCAAATGAATTTGTAGGTGACGAAGTGACGTATGTTATAATGCCTAATTGTCTTCTTTTGCAAGTTATACCAGATAAACTTTTTATGATCTAATTCCATTTTAAGAGTAAACCAAATCACTAACGGTTTGATAAACTCAAAAAAATTTATTGGTCTTGGGTGATAACTTCCCCTTTCAGCCCAAGACTTCCAAAGGAGCATAATAGCTTAAGGAAGGAACTCCATATCCACCAAGGCAATCACAAATAGATATATAACAAATTTGGCAAAAGAACTATAACATATTCAAAGGCCATAACCTAACTACTTAACTGATCAATAGCCACAAATAGAGAGAAGAAGACTCATCCAACATACCATAATATAGCTATTTAAACTATCTAAAGCCACATAAGGAGAAAAGAGGTATCATCCAACATACCATAATAGTGCAATAAAGGTACAATCAGATACTGCAACAGGACCAGTAATAATAATGGTCACAAGACTCACAACAATGTTATTATGCAAAACAACCGCGCATAAAATGACAATAGATATAATCATAGGAAAAATTCATTAAGCTACAATAATAAAAAGGCAGAGAAGTACAACATATTATGATAACTCTTCTTGTTAGGCTTCTTTTCCTTAGGACTATCAAGCGGAACAAGGCTTTCCACCAGCAGTGCTGAGGCAAACGACCAAGGAAGGCCACGGGTGTTCACATTCTTAAATGATTGCCGCTTCACATCAAACCACACAAGCTCCTTAAAGTCTTTCTCAAAGAGCAACTCCTCAGAACCATTCTTATTCAAGTAAACAATTGGCTTCAAAGATGAAAAGAAACCAATACTCTCCCACTGTGAAATCGAAAACCACTTAGTCCATGATTCTTTCACCCCATACTCCTTCATGATCCACACATCAAGCCGATGGTTAGGATAAAATACCCGGATCGTAATACACCCATCAATAACCCCAACATTAGAATAATAATCCATTTTCAACTCATTATATTCAGGTATTGGCAAAACCCCGTGTTCTTCCGTCCCAATATCGAGTGCAACAAGCACATCCACCGCTTCTGATATTGGTTTTTTAACCACCAACCAATGCAAACACCCATTCAGAAAAACCCCCTCACTAAACAAACCAACACCAATGTAATAATTATATGGAAATTCCCTAATAACTGGGCTAACAGTTTTCCAAGTATTAGTCTTCAAACTATATACCTTCATTTCACTAATGTGATCATCACTATTTTCAGGAAATATTTCAATAATTCGCACCAACTTATAATCATCATTCTTATAATCATACCCAAAACCAAAAATTAATCTATTACGTCCTTTAGGAACATACCCAGGAATTTCGACAGGCGAAACGGGCAAAACCCGGTGTTTCCTCGTCGCCAGATTGAAAATATACGCCGCAATTCCATCTGCCAAACACAGCAATCCATCGCAAGAACCCACAATTTGTGTTTCAGCAGAATCGCAATCAAAGGGGCAATTGATCAATGTAGGGCGCTTTAAAGTGGGGTAACCAACGGAGTAGAGAAAAGGATCTTTACTTGTGAAAATGGTATCTTTTTGCAAGAAAGAATCCTTGATTATGAGGGTTTGATGAGTAGGGTTTTACAAAGAGTGATTGAGATGAAGATTGACGAAATATTGTTCGTCGATCAAAGAACGCCATGATTTTGTGACGCAACGGAAGCGTAGAACAGATTTAGCAGGAAGCTTTGAGAGGATTATGGTGATTAATGGCGTCGGAATATCCGCCATTTTTGTGCACTGGCAAGACTATTGAACGAACTATAGAAGATCCCAGGGTTTTGAAAATGAAAGGTGGGTTTTTAAGGATGAGAAAGAACCCCCACGTTTCACTTAGTTCGGAAGTTAGACGGTTTGGGCTCCCACATTGGATTAGTGAGTGGAATAGTACCGAATCAGGAAAATCGAATGGTAGAATCGTAATAACCTATAAAATATTGATAAAAGAGTAATAAAAATATTGCTACATCATTTTTTAATCTTTAAAAATGCTAAATTTTAAAATTTAAATATTTGGATAGTAATTTTCTAGGCTTAGAGAAAGGTTTGATTGCGTTAGGCTAATTTAAATAAGTAAAAAGGAAGATTGGAAAATCCTAATCTATCTTATCCGATTATGTCTGATCATACACGATCATGTACTATCTAATAATAATCCAAATGACAAATAGGATTATGTGATCCTACCCGATCTTGTACGATCCTACATAATTCTATCTGTTCTTGTACAAATCTACATAATCTTATCCGATCTCGATCGATCCTACAACGATCCCACTATGATTCCGCATCTGATCCGAACAGTTGTGCAATCCTACGATCCGGAGTGCGAATGATTGGAATCACGATTCTAACAACAATGATCTGTATATTATACTCCATAATACATTATTCATAGTAAATACTCCCTCTGTCCCAAAATATATATATTATCTATGATTATACTATTAATTAATCTAAATATTTTTTATCATAAAATATGTTGTTAGATATAATTAACATAAAGTTTCATAATATAACCTTTATTTATATAATTTTCATCGACATGTGTGTAAAATTTAACTCTATCAATTATTTTGGGATAGGGGAGTATGTAGAGAACAGCACAAGAAAAGAAAAAAGAATTCACAAGGTAGAGAGATTAAGCCCTTTATAGCTTATAAAACTATTAATTAAGAATGAAAAGTCTTGTATCCAACTTTCATCGATGTTGTACCTTGTACGTCATGAGATGAGATGACATACAAATTTCATCTGCATCATACGGATATTATCTTAGATTCTTAGCGACTAAGTATTGTCAAAGTCGAAATCAGTTCTTTCTTAACTAATTGTTGCATCTAAAGACTAGAGTAGCACACATATACCTTAGCTTAGCTTGTCTTTAATCACCTGATAAAGTGACCAACTGACATCATCATACCAATCAACAAACCAATTAATTTAGTACATATATAAACATATAATTAATCAATTATATGTTCCTCTCGTTTTTATTAGTTGACATATTTTTTTAGGCACACGACATTTGTTAATGTATAACCATTTATATTTTCGATTACTCCCTATTACGGAGTAAAAATAAATAAGTTATAAATACGTAGTAATATATATTTATAAATTTGTTAAGACGAACGAACGGATTTTATAAGAACCTACATATCTTACATAAATATAAATTACAAAAGAAAGTTAACTTATACTTCGTATATAAATAGCAATTAAAATCAAAAATACCAATATAAATATAATTGAGGAAGTACATATAAAATTGAATAAATTACACAAGTACTTCCTAATTGTAATATTGGAATGATATACTTCGTATTTTATACTACGTATTATATTAGTTGTATTACTTGTATAAGAGTTGTTTAATCAACAATGACAAATATCAAGCACCAGATACACCTTTTTCTTTACTTTTCTCAAGTTTTTTGTGGGCGATTTTCCTTACTCCCTGTTCAAGAGATAAGCTGGATATTTTTATTTTTTTTTTGACAATTGATTATTATTGGATTATGAGTATTATATCATTTATATGAAGTGATAAAGGAATAAATTAATAAATAAGAGAGAGTGAGGGATAGCTCAAGTGGTTAGAGCTCCCCTTCTGATTTCAAGAGATCTTGGGATCGATTCTTATCACTTGTCCTCGTGGCTCTCTAACACCAAAAAAAAATGAATTAATAAACAAGAAAAGAAAAAAAATAAATAAAAACATTTGCTTGAAAACAACATACTCCGCATTTAACTTCTGCAAATATCATCATGATTGAGGGATCACACTTATTAGGCTACTAATCACATCAAACTTCTAAGTTCAACTCTTCACAAGTTGTGACAAAAACAATGAGGTAATTTATTTATGTGGGGTAGACATAAACTCCCACTAAAAAGCTGCCACGTCACTGCAAGCCAAAAAAAAGAGGGAAAATGGGGGGGATATTTTGGCTCAAGGCGCCTAAATGCTAACTTGGCGGGAGAAAAAGCTTGGCGCCCAGCCTCATTTAATGCTTCATAATCCCACCAACATCTTTTCAATAAAAAAATCAAGAGGTTGTTCATACTTCAAAACTAATGGTCGTAGAATACAACTACAAGCATGGAAGCCATTAACGACGGTGAGTTCTCCCGTTAAGAGAATTTTTTTTTTGGATAATAAAATGCGTTAAAACGCAAAAGCGGTATGAGTACTTCATACTTGTATTGAACTAATACACTCCATACTGGTATTAAACTCATTTTCAGTTCTTTTACTTTATTTAGTGCATAAAAAATTCAACGGTCCATAACTAGGAATTTAAGTTATTGCCATAGTATTATAACCTTGAATTTTCCAGTCCAATTGAAATTGTTAGATAGCTATCGTTACATACTGATTCCGAATAAATCTCACAGTAATTATTTTGTTATATGAATCTTCTAATCTGATTTTGACAATTGGAATTTGTACATAACATTTGATGATGGAGAGAGATTCAGAGAACCCCAATAAGAATATGTATTGAGTTGTAGTTTGTGTTAACCAAATTCAGATTAAAATGGTAACTAAAAACAATATTTTAGTATCATAGATACAGATATTGAAAAACCTGAAAAGTACATGTTTTGACTTTAAGTTGGTGTCACTATCCTTTGTAATAATTATGTTTGTTATTAATATAGTAACAAATAAATTACATTGTATCTTAACTTTTTATTTCCTTTGACGATCATATTGATCAGACATTATTGATTTCAGGGATGATTCAATCAATTAGTATTTAAATGTCTCTAAAATAAAAAAAAATAAGATCATGCAACGCATTGCTTTTCAGAAATTGCAAAAAAAAAAAAAAAAAATATCAATTTATTTTACAAAATTTGATAGATAAATGAAGTAAATAGTAAAAGTTCACTTCAAACTTGATACGAAAAAAACAATTTCAAATGTGTTAAAATTTCTGATCATATAAAACTCTTATTTTATGATTGAACCAAACCTATTTACTAAACAAATGTGTAATTTATTAGTTTAAATAAATAATGTCATAATTAATTTATTTTATACAATAATGAAAATAAATATTTGTATTACATTACAAATGAGTTATGACTATTCACAATGTTACAATGATAAAAAAAATGCATCTTCTAAATACAAATACATAAAATAACATATCTATAGTGAAATTATAATAGTGAATGACCACAAATAATACTAATTATGTATCATATCAAATCACATATGATATTATCTTATGGAATACGCAAAATAGTTACCGGTTACTAATAAATATAGCGTTTTTGGAAAAATGGTTTCAAATTACATATGTATAATAAAATTAATTTTTTACTTATTCGTTTTATTATCCTTTTTCTCATCATATAAGGTGATTACTAACTATATTCACTAAACAATTTATTCATTACAAGGTTGCAATACTAATATGATCTTATTCATAAATATTAGATAATAGTTTATTACAAGGCACACAAAAATTATATAACTTGTAATTTACACATATTAACTCTCGATCAATTTTTATTTTTGAAAATGAAATTATGCTCTGTAATAATAATGCAACTACTAAATCTCTATCAATTGTTTCAATAATAAGTTAAAATACGCTCCTTAACATTAATATTAGATAATGATTGATTATTAAAAGGCATAACAATTATTAATTTTATAATATATAAATACTAACACTCGATCAATTAATATCGAAAAAGTGAGATTATATAAAAATTATCATTTTCAAATTAAATTATTGAAATAGATAACGTTTTCTTGAACCACCTATTATTAATGACAATACTTGAGTTAATGGGTTAAAATAAAATAATGAATGTTAAAAAGCAAGTAGTAGAGGGTTAAAATAAAATACATTTGGAATACAAATATATATTAACGGTTACTAATAAAACTTCAAACTTATTATTATTAGTAAAGGTCTTATTCCGTAATATTAGTGGTAGAAAATTTGATATTATAAGGCCCACCAATTATTAATATTTTAATGAACAAATAAATACAATATGTTGACCAATTATTTTTGAATCTTGTAATATATAAATACTAACTATTAGTAAATGCGTCATTCCTTAATGAAGTACTGTAGTAGATCGATATTTGATTATTTTTAAGAAAATCAATTATTAATATTGTAATGTAAAAATACAACATGTTGCTTAAATTGTTGGTTTGTAAAAGTGTATTTATGCTCCTTAGTTTTAATACGAAACTACTAAATCTCGATAAATCAAATAATTTACCAAAAAATGAAATTATATTACTTAATACTTTTCTTAGATGATAAAATTCATTATTATAATAAGGAACTATAATTTTAATATCTGTTTTAAATTACAAATACTTAATTTTGATCAATCATTTTACCAAAATTTTAGGTTCTACAAAATATATATTAGTTACAAAGTAAGACTAACTGAGTAACTGGTCTTCAAATACTTAACGTTTTCTACCACCACCCGATACTATATTCAAAAATTATGGTGAAGGCCTAAAGTGGAATCGTGAAGGGTTTAAATTAAATATGGAGAGATAAAAAAAGTTACATTTGGAATAAAAAAAA